CGGGGAACTCTGCAAAAAACGCATCTTCGCACGGGCAGCCCGTGCGTTGGCCAATTTTTTTTAGCTAATGCTACCGCCAGCAACAGCAGCCGGTTTCGAGCAGAACCAGCAGCCGTGGCATGTTCGTACAGCGTGGACTGCGCTCTGGCGTCTGTCCGTCTATGTGCGTACCTCACGCCGAATGCTTTTCCTCTTCAAAATCCTTTTCCTGCTATGTGCTTCCGGAACTGCTGTAAGTTTTCTTTTTTTTTTATATTTTTATCCTTTTTCTGCCTTTTTTCTTTTTTTTAGCCGTAAATTTTTGGCCTTTATTTTTGCCTCTTTGTTTTTATGTATTTTTTTGCTGTTTTTTTTTGACTTTTTTTAGCTGTAAATTTTTGGCCTTCACTCTTATCTTTTTATTTTTTTGCTGTTTTTTCTATTTTTTATTTTTTTCCTTTTTTAACTGAATTTTTCGTCTTTATTTTTTCCTTTTTCTTCTTTTTTTTAGTTTATTTTTTTTATCTCTTAGCTATTATTCCGTAAATTTATAACTAATGCTTCTCTATTTTCTTATGCTCCTCACGCATTGCAATTATTCTTCTATCAAGGGCCCACAACAGATGATGTTCGGCAGATTTCTCGAAAAAAGCACTTGGGCAAATTTTCTCTGCTACTTTTTTCCTCTTTTTTAACTATAAGTTTTTGACTTTTATTTTTGTCTTTTTATTTTTATTTTTTCTTTTTTTCTTCTTTTTTTTAGTTTATTTTTTTTTCGTCTCTTAGCTATTATTCCGTAAAAATTATACCGTTGCTGATACTTCTCCGTTTTCTGTGCTTCTCACGCATTGCAGTTATTCTCCTGGCAGTAGCGTACATCTGTTAATGGTCGATAAATTTCTCGAAAAAAGCCCTCGGCAAATTTTGAACTGCGTTTCATACTGGCCGTAGTGCATGTTTAGATATCATCACCTCTTATTATCAAACTATGCTACTCTTAGACCACGATAAGATTTTTTGCTAGTAAAAATTTTTCCCAATTAAAGCGCAAAAACTACAAAAGTCCATTCACTTTTAAAAAGTTCGGTCGGTGTTTACAGCTAAGGGATGAAACACAGAGAGAGACTGATGCATCGCACAAAATGTCTTCTCATTCACATGATACTTAAGTCCAATCTCTCGCTTCTACTGTTTCTTTGCTTTCAGCTGCTTTTTTATGTCTCACTAAGTTGGCCAGTATTTGAAGAAGACCGAAGCTATGCGCATGTAGCTGAGGATCAGCAAGCACGTTATATCATTGAATTCGAGCGCTGCTCCGATGTCACTGGAAACTGTTACACTGTTTATGATACAATCGATGTTTTCACGTAAGTATGTTTACGTACTAGAACAAATTCTTTTCAAAAGTTTTTTTTTTTTGCGAAAAATCATTCTTGGATGGCTTTTTTCGTGTTTTTAGAGGTGATGTGAATCGTTTTCTGATTGCTGATGGTTATCAAGAAGGACACGAAACAGCTGTTCGCCTTATTCCGCCTGCCGGTAACTTTTTAAATCTTCAGTAATATTTAAAATTTTTATATCAACTTCCAGCTCATTATCTGTTTTTCCCCTGGCATATTCCCGGTCCCTCCGAGCAGTACTGCGTCATTTAGCGGTTAGCTTCTTGACGATCCTGACAGAAAAGATTGTTGACTCAACAAATTCTCAGGTGGAAGCAATTGGCAAGATC